GTATGCACCGTTGGAATGGCACCTTCCTCCTCTAAATTTTACCCTCGAGCGGCTCACAAAAGGTATGCGCCGTTGGAATGGCACCTTCCTCCCCTATATTTTACAGTCGGGTGGCTCACAAAATAAGGTACGCTACCTTGGAATCCTCCTCTAAATTGCACGCTTGGGGCCCCCTCCCGCTCAGTGGTCCTTGGGTCCACCCCCTTTCTGGTTCTTTCCTTTGCTCACACACCAGTTAAGCTAAGCTTGTAAACTTGCGGGCGTTCGCACATCCAGTGTCTTGTTGGCTGCGGGCTTTTTGAAGACACCTGGGTCTTTTTTCATGGCTGCCTGTCGCACCATGTAAAGGATAGAGATCGGATCCTGTAACTTTAGAGCTTGGAGACATGTATTCACCTGCATGGTTCAAGATTTTTCCTTGGACAGCGTCTTCCTACATGTATGTTGTTTAGAGGCAAGTTCTGGGGCAGTTTCTCAGGCTGTTTTGCTGACATATTGTCATGCTGGCATTTGAGAGGCCGTGCAGGCCACACTCGTCCAGAAGCTTCTCAGCCTTTCAACTTGCACGTGTACAAGCGAGGCGTTTTCTGCGTGCACAAGCGAGCGCCATGCCGTCGAAAACCGTCCACCGAGAGAGGACTTTGTGATAGGGGCAATTTGAAGGCGATTGTTCACCTGGTTGACCAACCTGAAACTCACACAAACACACCAACAAACACACGGGATTATGTGTATATATATATATACATATAGAGAGAAACCTTCACAGATCAAGCATCTTCACAGCCCAAACACATCATGCGCAAAGCAAAACACATCAAGACATCTTCCAAAGCCAACTGAGGCGTCCTGTGGTGTGGCAATGGATCTCATGGGCCCAGGACAATCCCCCAACCAGTTAAGACCACTGGACCTCCCCCCACCGGGTTTGACCACAGCTCTCACTCAGGTGCGGCAAAAAAGAGGCCCAACCTAAGAGCGATGGCCTCCAACCTACTGGCGATGTTCTCCAACCTAAGAGCGATGGCCCCCCAACCAAAGAGTGATGGCCTCCAACCTAAGAAAAAGGCCCAAACTGAGCAGCTCTCAAATCGGCAAGCGGCGTTCGCAGGTCCCGCCACCAGGGCGGCTCCAAGCTCCTGGAACTTGAGTGCTGCGTGGGCGATCGATGTGTTTTTGGTCGAAATTTGTGAAGTCTGTCTGGTGAGAGAAAAAGCAAAACCAAACAGAAGACCAAGTCTTTGCGGCGTTCATGCAGGACGATCAATACGGTTTGGCTTCTTGCAACAGACATGCGACTTGAAGGAAACAATTGACTGTCAATGGTGCCTTTGAATTCATTATAATTGATTTATCTCTCAACATGTTTTGCAAAGCAGGAATTTCAAGACTAAGAGGCAGGATGGAAGTGTTGTCACTTCCTCAAGTCTTTGCATTCGCTTCGTATGGCGGACAGGTGCCTGTTTGCTCGGCATGCCAAAAGCAACAAGAGAAGACCGCCAGACTCTGTGGTGCAAAAAATGCAATCGGTTTGCATGACTTCTCGACAACTATGCACCTGTCGCACTGTTCGGAGAAACATCGACGATGTCTTTACCAAACTTGGTCTTCCAATCGGATTCTCTCTCAATCTGTTTCCGGCATTCCTGCCAAGACTCTTTGCAAATCGCGTCTTTGCACGGGCCGTTGCTGTCAACATACAGGCATTAAACCCAGGACTCAGGACAGTAAACACAGCTCAACATGTTTCACAACAATTTGACTTGGGAAGCCAACATCTGTCAACTCTGTCTCGTGAGATGTATCAAAAAGGTTTGCAAAGAAGAAATACCCGTAGATTCACAGGCAAAACGGAAGCTTTTTCACTTCCTCCCAAGTCTTTGCATTCCGTGGATACCGCCGACAGGCATACAAAACACAACCAAACTCTGCTCTACATGAAATTCATTTCAAGTTCATGATCTCTCCGCAGCTGTTCACCTGTCGCACTGCCCGGAGAAACACCTAGGATGAGATCTCTATCAGTCCTGGATTGACCAAA